ATTCCCAACGGCGAAATTAGCCAGCGGCCTTATAAAATTAAACATTCTAATGCATGTAGATGCAATTGCGGTCGTTTCCCTGGAGGAGCTTTACGTGTGAGCAAGCTTTTTAGTTTCCCCGTGCGATAATCGTCAAAAATTTCTAGTACAATGCCCTTTCCATTTCCATTCTCGCACACTACGCGTATAACCATATACGCGGTTTAATATCTCACGATAAATTTAAACCGCGTGTTTATTTAATTGCTCCTTGCGGTTTAATTAAATTTCAGCGCTCAATAAAAAGTCCCGGATAATCCTCGCACAAAAGAGGCGGATTTCCATCCATATTTTTCAGCTATTCTTATCTTTATTCATGAAAAAGAAAATAATGGCCCGTGTAATCAGAGTAATCGGATTTCGTCGTATTTTTGTTTAATAATAAGACTAATAATATTCATCTCTTAATGATTCTATGAGATGTTTAAAGTTAACTAAACCGATGTGCGACTTCGGGTATACAATAGCCTCGAAACGAATCTCATAAATGATGCTTCCTTTACGATATAAACGCTTTCTACACAAGTCTTCAAAGCCACAGCGTCAATAATTCCAGATACTTTCAACGTATCGAGGTCAAAGTCCGCCATTTTCGTTCTAAATGTTCAGCCTCGAGAAATAAAAATTTTATAAGAAACTTTACACAAGGTGACTGCTCTAAGATCTCGATAAAGATCAAAGCTTTTTACAGCAGAACAAGCATAGGTACGAATAGACTCGGACCTTCGATATTCGGGATAGCTGCGGATATCGGTAGAGGTTTTTTTTTAATTCTAACGAAACAATCTTATTATGATAGTAGTTTTAGGAATATAATTAATTTTGGATATCTTAAAATCCCATTCTGGCGCTTAGTTTGTTATTAAAAACTGCGACTTGGCACATTATTGTAAAAAAATCGCGGAATTTCACGACTACGTTAAAATATTTGTTAAATGCTTCTTTCTAACTGAATGATATTGCCCGCGTGCTTTCGCAAGTTCGTACTCGGTAATAAATTTCGATCTTGTGGTGTAAGGTATCGCGTTTTGAGCCGACAATATAGTCGGGTCGATGCGTTAGTAAACTTCCCCGGCAACTTTTAAGCTTGTTTAAAGTGCCAACTTTTATCGGCCATTACTCATATCGAAAGGGCGGTTTTAACTGATTAGTTCGATCAGATTAGAGCTATCAGAATCGATAGACGATAAATATCCGCGATGTATAACGCCCGAAATAAAAGTACGAAGGCTGATCGATCAGTTAAATCTCTTACAGCGCGCGTCACCCTTACGGAAAAAAGCACTCAAGTTTTCAGTGTTAACACCCGATTGTCCGAATTTACTCTCAAATTTGGGTGTAAATATTTAAATCCGGGTGCTTGCGCCCAAATTTGAGAGTAAATTCGGACAATCGAGTGTTAACACTCAAGACTTGAGTGCTTTTTTCCGTAAGGGCAAAGCGATACTGGGTTGTGATGTCCAGTATCTCGATGTCTGGTGTATATGCGTGCAAAAGAATATTCGTAATATAATTTTTAACGCCGAAAGATCGTCTTCCGATCGAAATTCAATAAACATTTCAAGACCTGTGTATGTACGTAGAGAGTAAGGCCAAAAAATGGACAGACAGTTTGAAAAATACATTAACCTATATATATGAAGATTATGTAGAACAATGTAGAGCGTATATGAGCGTGAAATAAAATAAATTTACTTTATTTCAATGTTATATATTTTTATCGCAAAATATCTTTTGTAAAAACGGAAATTTTATTTATCAATCAATTTTCATAGTGTCGCATCCATCTGCTGTGTGTGTGCACATGTGTTTATACGCACGTCAATATATCGAGTAAAGACGTGATTACATTAATATTCATTCATCGATGTCTGAGCGTTCAAAAATGTTGAAGTAGAGAAAAGTAAAATTGAAATGGGGGAAGGAGGGGAGAAAGCGAGGGAGGGGGGGAGGGGGGAGAGAGAGAGAGAGAGAGAGAGAGAGAGAGAGAGAGAGAGAGAGAGAGAGAGTCAATATCGTCAACTGGTAACTCGGTCATCATTTGTTTATTGTTTGCATTGTTGTTCGGTCAACACAGAAACCGCAAATGCGGGCTGCCAAATGCGGGCGATATATAGGTAACTTTGCAAACACTGTCGCAACTTTCGTTTTCACATGCAAGAACACATCGAGCGCGACAAACAATTTAGGAAAACTTGTTAATATTTGGCTAGAATGTCCGCGACCACGTCGGCTAATAAATGCAATGTGTATATAAATTTATCCGTTTGTCTCTGTCGATCTTTCAAAAGTGACGGGTCGAGAACGCATTAAATGGGAATTAAAAAATTTGGAACGCACTCTATAAAGGTCAATCGGCGCATTATCGCTGAATACAGTTATAAGTATAACACTGAATTATTCGTAAATGTAACTGTAATCAGCGAATATTCACTGTTTTCAGTGATAATCCACTGATTGACTTTCAGAGAGTAATTGTCGAATAATCACATATTCGAAATTAATTAAAGAGATCTATAAAATCATGAGAATGCTAAATGAAATAATTCACGTTTGACCTGTACTTTCGTCCACATGTTATCTAAAAAAATATATTGCAAAGAGATCTTTCACGAGATAAATTTTTTAGAAATAATGTAACGCGTGTGCTCATATAAATGAGGCTAAAAGTTTTATGGCGGTGATTAGTTATTTAGAGAGACGGCCGTCCCTCGCAAGCGTTACCTTCCGGTTTAAAAATGAAACGTGTTAATATATAAGAACGACATCCGCGAAATTGCGCGCATTTCACATTTACTTCCGTTTCCTTTCCCGGCTATGATGTATAAGCCTCGCGAATTCGATCGCGCTCGCACGGATCATTTCACCGCGTTCCGGGTGAGAAACGCACCGATTGGGAAACGGGTGTGCGCCGTAAAGAACCAACGGGATCGAATTGCGCGAAAAAGTGTCCCCTTCGTAACGAATTATTGTAATTCTGCGCCGGTCAAAGTAAATCGTCGCGCGGCGCGGCTCGTATGCGCGGTATCGTGTAACACAAATTCACCGCCGTTTCGCGCCCGCATATCTCCCCGATGCGGTAAATATTCGTTTTCCCGGCATTTGCCGAAGCTCATTGCGCATGCAAACCGTCCGCGTATAAATTTATACAAAATTATATCTCCCTTTGAACGTGTCGCTCGGATTTACGCGGCGTATGTGTGCACGTGTGTTGTGCTTGCGCGTTATTCTTTGTTTGCAACGCCAATACTTTTCTCGATGCGCATCTGATAAATCCGACGTGACATTAATCTGTCGCACGGTACGTACGCTGGATGTTAAAATTTTGCCGGGCAAGATTTTTCAGATGTTTTTACAAATTTAAAAATGACTTTTTTTTATTGGAAAATCCAGGTGCCAATGTTTTTCATTATTAGCAAGCGCCCGGAATGCAATTAAATAAAGTTTTATTGTCCGCTCGGGTTCCAGCGGGGATGTTATGCAAAATTTATATACATATATCTATTTATTATATGTAAATATTTTCAATCATTAAAATAAGCCAAAAAAAAATATTTAGCTCAATATTGAAACGCACACCCTCGGAAAGGACTTCTGTCACCGAGACAAAAAATATTCTTGACCCACTTATATTTCTCGCAACTTCATTTGGTATAAAAATAAGACATTATCACAATAAAATCAATAATTCTCATTCTCCTCTATCGAAACGATTGACTTACTATATTGAGACGAGAGTAAGTTATATAAATGTAAGACACGGTCTTTAAAAATTTAGCAGGCATATAGATAACATTTGAAGCAAACACATAGAAAATCGATTTACCAATGAACGTTCTTAAGATAAAAATATTCCTTTCTCTGTAACAAATATGATTGGCGCTCTATCGATCCTATTTTAAAATACACTGAAGTGTAATAGCATCGGATTCGGAAATTTCTGTGGGTGCGGTGTCCGAAGTTTCCATCGCAAAAAGATATTGACTCTAAATAGATTCAAGCTCCCGCCGTTAAAATTAATGTTTACGAGACACCTAAGGCGTCGAAATGTAATCTGCATTCGGTGCTCCGTTTCACGCTGCAGATGCGCCCACAGTGCACAATTGCGCTTTCCGGATAGTGCCGATATCGCCCTTTACGGAGGAAAAACATCTGGGGGCTGGAAACCCACGGAATGGCACGTGAAGGAGCCATAAAATCGATATCGTAACGCGACAAACTATCTCGCGCGATAACGAACCGCTCCCACGTCGGCCGGAGTAAATCGCGGATCCTACATACTGTAGCGAGGATGTACGTGTAACAAACGAGCCGCTCATCTTTCTCCTTCCTCGCTTTCTTCCCTTTTTGCCTCCTACGGGTCCGCTTCGATGTGCGCCGCGCCCGCAAGTCTAAAGCCGTAAAGACTGGGGGGTCTCCCGGGTAAAAGGCGGCTCGTTAAGGACGCGAGCCGATCTCTCAGCTTCTAGCAGTAAGCACGGATGTATGCGTGGACCCAAGGGGGCCGCTCAAGAAGTGAGGCAAGCCGGGGAAATGGCGGTGTGATAATACGTGTGTCTATGGTACGTCTAAAGATTATTGTATTGATCAAAGAGACGGCCGAAACGCGCGACGGCGAGGCGAGAAAAGTTGGTTGGAGAATAAGCGTCTTATTGGCTACAAATAGCACACCGAGAGATCGATAAATATATCGGATAAAATGGATGACAGTCGCGACCGCCCGCGTCTTCATTTTCCGCAAAAGTATTACTCGCGTGTATAAAGGGACCGCTTATTTTTCCGTGGCTTTAGGGATTCTTTCGACGGTCGATCAGCGGTAACGCTTACGTCAAGTAAACGTTAACCGCGCTCAAATATCAAGCTGTTCGAATGACCACAGGACCCCGAAGGTTTGGCTAATGAAGCCAATGAACGTTGCGCGGTCTCTCAAGTCGGAAAAGGGTTGTAATTGAAGGACTTACGAGCTAACGAAGGTCGGAAATGAATGGCTCGTTGATAACTCAAAATCGCCTCGTCGTAATTCTTTCTTCCCTGCTGTAATATGCCCCTGTAACAGAGAAAATGAAGTTCCTTGTTAATACAACTTTTAAACATTTCAATATGAACCGTAATATTTCACGTCGTTCTAATATTCATTTTCATATGGAGAAAAAGAACTTAGTCCAAGGATCGATAAATATATGGAATTAGTAATCGAAATAATGTCACTCTCGACGCTAAGAAAATCATCCGTTAGCGAGGCAAATTGTACTGCGTTTATTACGTTTATATTTCAAGTTTTGAAAGAGAGAAGAGAGAGAGAGAGAGAGAGAGAGAGAGAGAGAGAGAGAGAGAGAGAGAGAGGAGGGGGGCAGGTATATATATACCTCTTCGATATAATATCAAAATGTCAAACGTCATGAGAAGAAAGGAAAAGTTTTCCGTCTCTTAGACAGTGAGCGATTAATCTTCTCTCGAAGGACGTCACTTTCAGAAACGATATAAAAATATTACTTGTCAAGGCGATGACTTATCGCACGTGTGGTCGCCCGGTTCTACGCGGTGGGATTAAATTGCGAGCGCAATAAGCGCGATTCGTAATACCCGTGTACGCGGGGTTGGGGAGGGGGGGGGGAGGGGCACTCTTTCGCGAAGCTACATATTTTAGAAAGGACCCACCGCTTCGGCGTCGCGGTGATTAATCTTCCGGCGTAAGTTGTCACTCGAAAAACGATGAAAATATCACTTGTCGACAGGTGAAGTATAGTCGACCGGCTGGTAGACGACTCGCGCAAGCACTGCCGCTGATATATTTTTCTCGTCGCGCGTTATCGAAATCGGACCGGACGATATGGCGCGCAGTTATTTTTCTTACCTCGCGTGTTGCGTTATTTTTCTTACTTTCCGACTCGGGAGATCAGAGCCGAGCGGAATTTTGCACGAGAGAGACCATGTCGGGTTTTGGAAAATATTTACGCTTCTCGCGTATACCCGGGCGTCGCCTCATATTTTTCAAATTGCTATGCCGAAACGGGATTACAATCTACATATGTTATTTAGGCGGGTATCTATTTTCGGATAGAGATAAAAGGGTGACAAACAGACGCGCCCGCGCACGCATCTAGGATGATTTATTATGGAGATTGTTCATAAAGATTCGCGCTTCAAAATCTCGACCACGCGAACTTTTCTAACGAAGCGCGTTGCGTTTACAATTTGAATTGGCTCGTAAATTACTGAGTGAACAAAGTTTGCTGTGCATTCCGCTCCGGTGCATTTCTGCACCTCACGCGAGAGACTATACGCTGCCTTTTTCACCAGCCTCGTTAATGTCGTCGAGATATAAATTAACGTCAGCAAATTCTCTGACAGTCGCCGAATCTTTACGGGTTAATAATTACTGGAAAATCTTCCAGTCTATGCCGAGGCATTTGTGAGATTCCTTCCTCTCTCCTCAGAAGCGACTAATTTGTTATCAAAATTACGGATGCATTTAGCGCGCAAACCAAACCGTCGCGCGTCGACGTAGCGTTGAAAAAATTATACTAATGAGGCGCTTTGTGAGCCTGCGACGAGCGACGAGCTTGAAAAAAGAAAAGTGAAAATGAACGGACGAAGAGGAGGACGGGATGGAACGGGATATTTCCTTTCCTGGCGCGCGAACCGGCAGGATGAAGAGAATCCTTGTTCGTTAACGAGCCGCTACTCTGCGTTCGTTAACTTTCAACAAGACGAAGACTCTTGCGTATACATATACATCCGTCACTTTGCCAGCTCCTTCTCTTGTAACAATCTCCAGTTTGCGCCAATTTGCAATTATACCCGTATTCTGTTTAATTTGTTATTCAACTCTCGGTCCGTTTACCGACCGTGCACCGCGGCGATTTAGTAAATCTTTCCCAAGCAAATGCAAATTTGTAAATCATATCGCAAACGTATAGCAGGGAATCGCAGCAGAAGCTGTGAGCAGAGCTGACGTGAAAGGCTAAGGTGTCGTTCTCCGATAGAACGGGCTACGTTGAAAAATAATTCCTGAAAAGGTTTGAGATTGTTTTAAGACCGTCCTGTATAGTAAATAACGAAATTCCTCTTTCGAGTCCTTAAAGCGTTTCAAATGATTCCTGAAATGTTTTAACATTGTTTTCAGACCGCCATGTCTAGAAAATAAAGAAATTCCTTCGAGTCCTTAAACGTTTCAAATAATTCCTGAAATGCTTTAAGATTGTTTTCAGACCGCTATGTACAGAAAATAACGAAATTCTTCTTTCGAGTCCTTAAGCATTTCAAATAATTCCTGAAATGTTTCAAGATTATTTTCAGACCGCCGTGCATAGAAAATAACGAAATTCCCTTTTCGAGTCCTTAAACGTTTCAAATAATTCCTGGAATGTTTTAAGATGAGTTTTCAGACCGTTGTGTATAAAAAATAACGAATTTCCTCTTTCGAGTCCTTTAACGTTTCTTAAGTAATAACTTCGCTTTCCATCGAAAAAAAAATCAGCGAAAATATCTCACCGGCCGTCAAGGTATAAAATTTTCTGCCTAATCCCTGCCGCTGTTGTTCGATCGACAGTTACCAGCTGGACGTGCAGCTGAAGCACGGGCCAATTTACACAGACGGTCGTGCCAGGGAACGAAAAGACAAATCGCGCGCGTAATTCCCCGCTGTCGTTCGTTTAAAACGCGAAACTTAATAAAGCGACGTGGCGTGTCAAATGCTGTTACTGTCAAGCCCGCGCGCACGGCAGCTCCGTGGCAGTTTGAACGGGAACACGCGTGGTTCATCGCCGAAAATAAATAAACCGCAACTGTTCGTTGAAATCACACGGATAAAGGTAATTATACAAATTGCCTGGAGTTCTAACGAGCAATCGGTTTTATGAGAGTTAATATAGGAACGATTATATTTTGTATTGGCCACTTTCGATAACAAAGCGTTGGGCAACTCTCTCGCCGGGAAATTTCGCTTGCATTTTTCTTGTCGCAATGAGACGCGGGAAGGAGAGGAAGGAAGGGAGAAAAGAAAACGGTATAGGTGATGCCAAATACGTAGGAACAGCCGCTGAATATCTGGCCGTTCGTGCGGCGCGGCGGGCCAATAAAATAGAAACATTCGTAAAACGTTTGGCATAATGTTAGGCGAATATGCCAATAAAAGCTCGGCGAGGAACGTCGAAAAGTTGCTTCGGTTATCGCGATTCACGAAGCGCGAGAATGTACGGAAAGATTTCGCGAGAAGTTTTTTTTTTCAAATTGAACACAAATAACTGATCACGATCGTCGAGTGCAGTTTAACGCCGTCTACTGTGACGTAGACTCTCGCCAGTCTGCATAAATGGAAACGGTAAAACGATTAATTTTAGCAGGGATTTTATATTCATTACTTTAAATTTGTTTCATTATCCAATTACGCAACGTAACAATTGAAAATTTTATGAGAGCTCTCAGGAGTAAATTCTCATTTCTAATTTAGATGTTTTCTATGACGAATTACGTAAAAGTATTTTAAATAGCTGCTAATCTTATTGTCGATACTAAATCTTCTACTTGCGGTACGATCTAATGCTGTTTAGCGTCAGATCGTAACAATTTGACGTTCACGAGCTCTTTCTTAGTTTTAACATGTTAGGTGATAGACTTATATTTATCACCCGCGACAGTTTGTCCAGGTAACCTAAATTAATCGTATGTTTATATTAAGAACTCCTTTTATAAAATCTATTCTCCGAACGTCATTCGCCGTGCGATCTCGTAGTGTCTCCATCAAACGATATATCGGAGATATATCGTTGACCCTTTAAAATAGCGACGCTCCAGTTATCTATTTAAAACCTTACCTTCTGCACAATTGGAATCGATGTGATTTTCCCGCGTTTCCGTCAATTTATTGTTAGAAAGTTTTAAATCACGATACCGATTTATACGAGGGGTAAACCACTAACCAAAATCATGTACACCACTGCCCGCTAATGCCCAGTGGGCATTACTTTATTCATATTTTATCTTTTTGGAGTAGCTTTTCGTCGCCAGTGGTAATCAACCAAAGAAAGTTTTTTTAAAAAATGGGCCAAACTGGCAAAATTGATGTTTATTTTAGTCACGACGTTTCGACCCCTTTATCGGGTCCCTTTCAAGTACAATCTAAAGTTGACTGAACATTTTAATTTATGCCGAAACATTCAGTCAACGTTCAGTTAACTTTAGATTGTACTTAAAAAGGACCCGATAAAGGGGTCAAAACGTCATGACTGAAACAAACATCAATTTTGACAGTTTGGTCGATGTAAAAAAAAATTCCCCTTGGCTTATTTCATCTTATTTATCTGGTTTCATCTTATTGTATCTTGTTTTATCTTTATAATGCCCCAGCAAGGCCTAATGTTCAAACTAATGCCCACAAAATGCCTAGTGATGCCCAATAATGCAGCAAACCTGTGCGCCACAGTGCAACCCCTCGGCGGTTTACCCCTCGGATTTATATATGAATCAATTGTAGGAGTCACGTAGAAATAAATGCCGCTATTAAAATGCGGGCCGAGTGGCGCGGAATAAAGCAAGCGGGCAAACGGACGAGTGAGCAAGTTTGTAATTTCATTAAAGTATTCGGATGTTTACATCTCCTACCTACCTATTTACACCCGACGTTTCATCGATCAGACTGTGTCCCGGCTAACTAAATTTAACCAAACTTAACTCATACAACTTTACCTCAATGATAGCGATCGCGTTTGTTCCCCCGCAGACCGTTTAATAACGGCGTGCGAAAAATTTTGCAGACCCGGGGATTTAAGTCCGGCATAAAAATATGTAAAGTATATACGTAATTACGCGCGGGCGCGGATTGCCGGCGAGAAAGAAAAGGGAAGAAAATTCTCATTAGTATTAAATTGTATTTCAGATTGTTCCCGCGTAATTAAGCGGATAATTAGAGGTAAAAATCGATAGAGCGAGTGGCGAAAGCTTTTATCATAATAACGAGGAATGCGTTACGATGACTATACATATGTATACGGCGCGGCGCGCATTATTATAATTTGTCGTCGCTAGAAAAAGCGGAGCCCGCAATCT